CTCCTCTCGCTAATAGAGATCATATCTGAACAGCAGAAGGTTCTGGGCAGCTCGGTTCTACTTTAGGGTTCGGTCTGGAAACATAGAAACGTCTGAAAACGGGTCGGAAGCAGTTTGATAGAAAGTTAGAACTCACCGGACCAACTGCTGAAGTCTGCGCCACAAAATGTGCCACAAAATGAAGTCCAGAACTGACGTGTTGGTGAAATACTTTCAGTTTCTATAAATCAGCTGATGTGTGCGCATGCGCAGTGTCTCTACATGTGAGGTGTTAAGTCAATCCACATTTCCCCATCAGGAGGTGGTCCTAAATGGGCCCCATTTCATAATGAAAATGCAGTTTAGTTCTGGTTTAACTTTGGGCATCCTGGAAATAAAAATGATTAAACCTTTGCAGGTATGTTGAGTTAATTAGCTGATTAGCGTTTGACACCATGAGTTTCGTTAATTAACGTTTTCATTATCTGTGTATCATCTTTTCAAACCACTCAGGCCTTCTTGTGCTGGTCCATTTTGTTTCCCCAAGAACCAGAACCAAACATGGAGAAGCAGCACTCAGTTTCTATGTTCCTCTAATCTGAAACAAACTTCCACAAAACTGCTGAAACACTGATTTTCTTTAAATCAACATTAAAACATATTTGTTTAGGGCTGCCTTCGATTAATAACTGGAACATTTTTTTTTAAAGTTTTGATTAAAATGTAATTCTTTTTTATCTTATGTGTTCGTAATATAAAGCATTTTGAATCGTTTTGGTGCTGAAATGTGCTGGATAAATAAACTTGTCTTACTATAATTCAGGCTGTTCATCACAAGTCTAAATACAAAAGAACAACACTTTAGGTTCCCTTTTATTCTTAAAATTTTATGTACAAGATGTGACTGATTTCATTTTTAAATGTACATTCAATATAGAAAGTTTATATACGTAATATTACATTGAACATCTCACAAATTGCACTAGTCTTTCACATAAGATTCAGAATCAGAGTCAAAGTCATTCGTCATGTCTGCAGAAGCTCATTTCCTGTGGTTACTTTAAGTTTCTATCCTTACTTAAATAGTCTAGTGCTTTTTGAGTTCTGGGGAGAGATTTGCTTAAAACATGGTAGGCAGGGAAGAAGAAGAAGGATGAAGATTAGAGGAATTAAAGTCTGGCTATCAGAGCTGGACAAGCAAAATCAGAAAGGTCCACTTCAGTTTTGGGAGCTTTTTTTCCTGGGGAGATTTCACACTTTTTTCTTTTTTAAATATCCAATGTCATTTCTATTCCAAGTCATAATATTGTGAAGTTTATGTAAAAAGCGAGCACAAACACGGCCAAATTTTCTGGGACGAGGAGAAGATTTTGGGATATGATAAACAAGAAAAGACTGAAAGAAGAGGAGAGAAATTCCCCTAATAATAAGACTTGGTCTTTCTGCAGCTTTCTAACAACAAAAAAAACTAGAGTAAAAAATATATTCATACAAAAAAGTAAACCTTTTTCTGTCAGAAGAATAAGTAGCACAGGAAAAGAAAATCCAAATATGGTCATTTGTTAAAAGAAAGCAAATCTTGAAGACTTCAGTGTCATCTGAAAGCCGGGGGAAGGAGAGTGATGCTGCAGGACGAGTCGCAGAGAATTTGGTGACCGTCTCCCTCGGTCTTCCCTCTCCCGTCCCTTCTGATGTTTGGGGAGCCGAGCGGCCCCCTCTCCGAGCCGCAGAGGGCAGTCTGGGAGCCTTAGCGCGACTATGTCGGTCTTTCAGCTTTGGTCTCCGCTGTCGTTGTCTACAGGGGGTGGGACGCTGGACAATACTGTCGAGCCAGTTCCTGCCGTGAGGTAACCTGCAACTCCTGGACCTGCAGGCCACAGGGACAACGGGTTAGGCTGCAGACAAGACGGGACTTAGAGGAGGTGAAGCGCTAAGGATGAGCTATAATGGTTAAAGACTGAATGTCCACAGAGCTCATCAATGTACTTTCCCTAAGATGGAACCAAGACGACGTGAAAGTTAAGAAACTAAAGCAGTTTTCTCCAAATGCTCCACTCTTTAGGAGTCATTGACATGCAAAGGTATTCACACGCCTTCACACTGAATAAATGTATATATTTTACCACTGAGATGAAGACGCTGGAATGGAAAGTGTCACGATGGAACAAGGATGGAGGGAAGAAGGGGAGGATAATTATGTGACAGTAGGAGCCAGGCAAGAGTCTACCTGCATCAAAGCAAGAAAGAGGAGGGCTGTGGGGGCCCAGCTCTGG